GTCGCTGGAAGGAATTAAACCTGCTGGATTCCGGTGAAGCGCTCTAACCAACTGAGCTATACAGAGACCAGATTGGCCTATCGAAACCATAGTTTTATGCTGTCTATCTATGAAGCCATCCAGTACCAGAAACGCGAGAAAAATTGGGAAAGAAATCATCGTGATACGAAAGAAATTGGTATTGAAGCGATCAGCTTTCAACTGCGATTTTCCTCATGGGATAAACGTAATATGACTGTGTCTCATATACGACGTCTTCGTGAGATCTAATGCGTTATAATTTGTTGGTTTAGGCCAGTACAGGTGTGTGTAATTTGCATGTCATATAATATCATATCATACTACTTAGCCGGCTGTTTTTAAGTTACGTACTTTCAGCAACTTCTTGTATTTTTCCAAACTGAACCATGAATTTCCACTATACCTTTTTCAGCCCTCGCCAACAATCACTCTATTATAGAACCTTACGCTCTAATATGCATTTATAATAAACTGTTATAACCTCAATCTGTATGGACAGAATTTTAATTTTTCACCTAACGCCTAAAGCCTGCAGCACACGAGAGCTATCTGCTGAGCAAAAAATTACTCGTGCCTGTTAGCTCAGCCGATAGCTCACCGTGTGCGCGTACATTTTACTGAGTTTTTTGCCTCATGCAACCTTTTCTCACGTATCAAACATGTTTGATCGGTGAGCTATCGGCTGAGCTAACAGGCACGAGTAACTTTTGGCTCAGCAGATAGCTCTCGTGTGCTGCAGGCTTTAGACGGTTGGCCTAATGACCGATATTTATGTTAAATACGTACAGCCCGCGGAATTTCAAAGAAAACCAACTCAATTATGAAATAACATAATATAACACATGGAGAATTAGAATTTTTCGATGCTGAATTAATAGGAAAGAGTATTTTTATGACATTCAGTATATATAGTTCATAATTTCCAGTCTTCGATCCTTCCTAACCGTGTAGTTAAGGCCTATATATATTTATATGGAGGCGAGTTACCCGAAAATAGATCTTTCCAAGGTTAACGACGCCATCTTGAATCCATTGTTTTCACCATTGTGTTTGCACCCCCTGCAAATTTACCTATAGGGAATTCCATTGTGTTTGCACCCCTTGCACTATTGTGTTTCATTATGGCGTCGTTAACCTTGGAAAGGTCAATTTAAAGCGAGTTACGCGCCCAGGCCGGGACAAACAAGAGGGGCTCTGTTTATATGGAATCGAGTTACTCGGCATTTTCTGCATGATTGCCTCATGATTGCCGCAAGACGCCGAAATGGCACCAAAAAACCAAAAAGGATTCAAGTCCTTTGAAACGTTAGAAAATATTACAAAACGTCTTCAAAATACACGAATAAGTGCTGAAAAATTCGGGAAAACTTATCTATTGATTCCTATGTATTTTTGAGCTACTGTATTATATTTGAAATGCCAAGAAAATACATTCGATCTCGGGCGGCTGAGTTACCCGGGCAAAGTGTTTACGGCGATGGGAAATATTCATCTCGCCTAGGCGATATCCCGCCTCTTTCTGCCGGGAACTCGCCAAAGACGCCAAGGCGAGTTAAGCCGGTTTTCCACTTCAACCGTATCGTAGCGAAGCGTATTTTTTTGTTTCCTGGCCACTAGAGTAGAACTAATGACTTCGACACAAAAGAAAATGCTACGGTACGTTACGATACGGTTCAAGTGGAAAACTGGCATTACTCGGCTGCATCATGTAAACAGTCACCCGGGAATAGACACATTACACATGACGTCACAGCGCCGGTGACGATGCATCTGGAGGACAAAGTAGCAATCTATGTATAATATAACGTTTCTAAACAAAGCAAATTTTGTAAAACTTTATAATAATTTTGTATTAAAATGGTTGACTTTGCGCTGTATGTGGTTGTTATACCCGGACAGGTATTGTTATAGGGAGCATCTGGAGGACACTATAAAGATTTGTGACGTCAGTGCAATAGGTCTATACTTGAAGTTTCTATAATAGCCGGGAACTCGCCGTAGCCGAGTAACTCGCCTTACCGGGCAACTCGCTCCATTTAAACAGGGCCTCATTTGGTAAGCATCGATCTATTTAATTAAGCCGGTTTTCCACTAGCGAATTTTTTCGCGCGAAGTGACCTTTTTCCTTTGTCGGTATCACTTATTACGTCAGCAAGACGCGACAAAATGGATGCCGTCGCTAGTGGAAAACCGGCTTATTTCAAAGGTCTCGAGTTCAAAACCCAGCTGCGGCAGGCAGAGTTTTCTCCTTCCGCGATCTGTAAATTGTGAACTCGAGAATATTTTCTCCTTATTATTGACTTATTACTCTCTCAGATTAAAAGACGAAAAATTCAGAATCGTGAAAAGGTTTCCAGTGTTTGCTGCACTCCGTTAATTTAACGACCGAATGTGAAAGGTAAAAATGGGAAAATAAAAATCACTTAGTATTTCTCGAGAGAAATTTGAAACATTGCAAAATGTTTCGGTGTCCATGAGAGAATTTGCCGTGTTTTGAGCTAAAAGAGCAGACAGAAGAAAAATTCTACCACAGTAGAAAATATATATCAATGTTCTTTTATTGATTTTCAAAGAGCTAGGTTATTACAATCGAAAACAGAATTCGGAGTGTCTATTGTTTTGTGTTTTATTAAAGTATACATAGGTTTTGTTGAACATGAAATATTTTTGGAGATACATTATACATACTCATTTATCTGTGTAAATGAAGCAATCGGATTGGCAAGGAGCCTTTAAGAGTGGGCCGGGTTTTTGCATCCTGCCCTCTCTGAAACGCAACTGTCCGCAGTGAAATGCAACGGTCCGCTCTGCATGGGTTTCGCGGCCAAAACCTAGGCGTGTAGCAATTTTGAACCTAAAAAACCTGCCCAAAAAGTTTGAATAACATAGCTAAACGATGGCCAAAATACGAAAATAGATTGCATCAAGCTCTATATATACTTACTAAGCAGGATGTACACCAGAATTGACAATATTTTGAGAGAAATGCGACTGAAAGTCAGAAAGCTGCTTGATATGTATAAAACGTACCCCGAGAAAGCTATATTTTTGTTTTAAATGCTCATGTACCCAACCACGTTGACGGAAGCAACTGAATCTGTACGTACAATTGAATTTGGTACGTACAATTTCTATGCCCTTCAGCGAGGCATAGAAATTGTATGTGCCGTTTGCATATATACTTTCATGCAAGAAGTTGCGGAGAACCGCTTCAACGAGAAGCGTATACGGAAAGGTTTGGTGTGGGTCGTTTTAAAATTTGAACCAAGAGTGTTTGGGGTTCGAACTACAAAAACCTACTTGTAAATCCTCTGTAAAAATTCCATTTCTTTCAATTCGACAAATTCATGAGACTTACAGTAGTATTTAAAACAAATGTATAAAAAGTAAAGCTGGTCGACTTACGGGCATGTATGATAGGGAACGTCGCAGATTGTCCCATCGGAATCATAGTGTTAAGCTGTCCAACTGCGAAGTCATCCAGCATCTGAAACGCGAAAAATATTGCCACAGAAATCTTCATGATTCGAAAGAAATTCATATTGAGGCGACGAACTTCAACTTTCAACTGCGTTTGTTTCGCATCAGAGAAATATAATATGACCGCGCCTCATAGGACGCGTTCGTGAGAAGTAATGCGGTACAATTAGCTTGTTTATAATAGGCCACCACAGGTGTTTGTAATATACATGTCATTTTTAAGTTACTAAGAACACAATAATTCTTCTTGAACCTTATGTTACTGAAATAAAATACATTAATACACTATCAATTTATGATGGACTGTTATATCCTCCTCACTCCTTGTATAGATGGAATTTCAATTTTTCGCCTATATAATGCCTGAGGTATATTTTGAAGCACATTATAAATAAGTCAAGAAAGCACGAGTTAATTTAGAACTTCATTTAACGACAAGACTTTAACCATTGTGAAACATTGGCAAATTGCGGCGAAATTGAGCTAGTTCAAATAGCTGCATTTCTACACAAAGTTAATTTTATTAGTGTAATTAAGCGTTTATAGTGTATTGTCATAAACCTTTAGATTAGAATTTCAAGGCTCCAAAATATCGTTTACATAGTAACCAACCTAAACACTCTATCAACACATTAGCATGCATAAGGTTTTTTGGCTGAAAAATTTCTACAGAATTTATTTACGCCCACAAGCATTCCATTTGAAGCTTACATTACCAGAATACAATGTGCATTTTTTATAGACTGTTATGACTTCTCACTCCGCATAGACAAAATTTTAATTTGTCTTCTAATCGGCTAATCCCGATGTATATATAATGCTTATATTAGTCGAAGCATTTTGGATACTATTTTTTGAAGCGTTACATTTTGTCCAAAATAGTAGCACGAGTTGATTTAGCATTTTATTTAAAAGACTTTGATGAAATATTTTGCCTTATAGTAGTACACAGCAGGAAAAGAAGCTCTCTACGTTTCTAGACAGTACAGCTGTTTTTTACTTTTTCACTAAAATATTGGACACAGCGGGAGAAAAAGCAAATAGCAAAAAATAGCAAAAAAAATCATTTTGGGGATTCCGTTCTCAACAACAAAATATCGGTTCTATAGTTTTACGAAAGCAAATCTAGTCCAGTTGACACCAGAAATCGCACTCTTAGCAGAATGCATTGGGACCAGTCTTTGTTCTAAAAAATATATGTGTCATGCATGCTGGGCGGTTGACAGTTTCATGAAGAGTTGTAATAATTTCTCATTAACCTTACGTTAAAGCGAAGAGAGTTGTTCCCCTTCACAAATTTAGAAATATTCAACCTAGTTGTTCAGTTATGTCATGAAGTATTGAGCTTAAGTAACCGCTGACCGCAGTGACAGTCAGAAGTTTTGATGAAACGTAGAACGAACGTATTTGCACGTATATTTCCAAAAGACAAACGTATAGGAGCGATTATAGAATACCGGCCAATTTTGAATTTTGATAGTGACTAGTGTTTGCTTTTGGGGGATATGGGGATACGCAGTCATTAAAATGACGTAATTATTGGAGTAGTTTAAAAGGAGAATGGGTAACTATTATTTTTCAATGATACGGGGATACGGGGATACGCAGTCATTAAAATGACGTAATTATTCGAGTAGTTTAAGAGGAGAATGGGTAACTATTATTTTTCAATGATACGGGGATATGGGGATACGCAGTCATTAAAATGGCGTATTATTCGAGTAGTTTAAAAGGAGAATGGGTAACTATTATTTTTCAATGATACGGGGATACGCAGTCAAATCGTGCTCATTTGATATGCAAAATTTATACTAATGAGTAATATTTTGTGCAGGGTTTAGTTGAGAACGTAAGAAATACAATATATGAGTAATATTTTGTGCGGGGTATATTGAAAACGAGAAATACAATATATGAGTAATATTTTGTGCGGGGTTTATTGACAACGAGAAATACAATATATGAGTAATATTTTGTGCGCGGTTTAGTTGAGAACGTGAGGAATACAATATATGAATAATATTTTGTGCGGGATTTATTGAGAACGAGAAATACAATATATGAGTAATATTTTGTGCGGGGTTTATTGAGAACCAGAAATACAAAATATGAGTAATATTTTGTGCGCGGTTTAGTTGAGAACGTGAGGAATACAATATATGAGTAATATTTTGTGCGGGGTTTATTGAGAACGAGAAATACAATATATGAGTAATATTTTGTGCGGGGTTTATTGAGAATGAGAAATACAATATACGAGTAATATTTTGTGCGGGGTTTATTGAGAACGAGAAATACAATATATGAGTAATATTTTGTGCGGGGTTTGTTGAGAACGAGAAATAAAATATGAGTAATATTTTGTGCGGGGTTTATTAAGAACGAGAAATACAATATATTTATAACCCTTTATTATTGAAAATATAGATTAATTATTTGATTAACGATTCCCCGTTTATTTTGATACCGAAACATTAGAATAATTACGTAATTTCATTCACTGCGTATCACCGTATCCCCGTATCATCGAAACTTAATATTTACCCAAACACTCCAATAATTACGTCATTTCATTCACTGCGTATCACCGTATCCCCCTAAAATAAACAGTAACAGAAATGGACGGGTATTCTATAATCTAGCCTCATTTCTTTTGTAGACAATCGAACAATAATATAATATACATATATGATTCCGATGTGCATGTTCGATGTCTTGATGTGGAACACACAACTGAACTTGGAACCAACAGGGACTTTCAATGGCAACTCGAGCAGTGGATCAACATGGAGACCATCCCACCTGTGAGAAAGAAGACTGAAATCCGTTCAGTAGAAGACCAGAAAGCATTAGATATCTTGCACACAACTACAAAAAGATTACCATCGGGTGACGCTTTTGAATCAGGAATTCTGTGGAGAGATCCGGAGGTTGTGCTTCCGAACAATCGAAAGGCAGCAGAAGCGCAGCTACACGCACTCGAACGCCGCTTAGATCGTGATCCGCAGCTGAAGCAAGCTTATCAGGCATCTATCACCAATGACGTGGAGAAGGGGTACATAAGGAAGCTAAATAAACATGAAGTACAGGCAACAGTCAGTAACAGAATAAACTACTTGACGCATCATCCCGTGAGAAACCCAAAGAAGCCGGGCAAAGTACGGCGCGTGTACAATGCGGCAGCGAAATACGATGGGAAGTCTTTAAACGATTTTATTTACACGGGTCCAGATCTACTAAATCCACTGTTTGGCGTGTTACTCAGGTTCAGACAAGGACGTATAGCACTATGCTCAGACATTAAAGACATGTTCCTGCAGATGCGAGTAGTAGAAGAAGACCTTCCAGCACTACGGTTCCTATTCAGAGATTCGAAAGATGAAGAGCCAAGTGTATACCAATGTTTAAGAAGACCTTTTGGTGAACGCTCAGCACCCACCTGCGCCAATTACATAATGAAACGAAATGTGGAGGACTTTCAACAGCAATACCCAACAGCCGCTGAAGCTGTGAGAAAGAATCTCTATGTCGATGATTCACTGAATTCGCTAAACGATGAAGACGAAGCCGTTGCCCTACGTCAAGAACTAACCGAGCTTATGAAACACGGCGGTTTCACTCTCACGAAATGGTTAAGCAATAGCCAAACTGTGATGAAAGAGATCCCAGAATCTGACAAAGTCCCAACGAAGGAAGTGAAACTTGGTGACTTACCGAGATCCCAAGCTCTTGGTGTGCATTACAACGCTCAGACGGACAGCCTGCACTTATCAGCTCCAAAGAAACCACCAGCCAAGACACCACAGGAGATCCTAAGTCGCATTGCCTCAGTCTGGGACCCACATGGATGGCTAAGCCCGTTCACAATTCGAGGACGAGTACTTCAGCAGCAACTCTGTTTGGAGGAAGTAGGATGGGATACCGAGATTCCAGAGGACCAGCTCAGAGAGTGGAAAAAATGGGAAGACGAAGTCCAGGCAGTCGAAAGCGTCACAGTTCCTAGATGCTTGAGATCCTCTGATGACACCCCAAGTGAGGTACAACTACATGTATTTTCCGATAGTTTGAAACAAGCAAAATGTGCCGCAGGTTATCTACGCTTTTCCTATCCTAATGGCAACGTACATTGTTCCCTCGTCGCCGCCAGATCGAGAGTCGCCCCCAAGAAGAGAATGACCACACCACGCCTGGAATTAGACGCAGCTTGCATGGCGGTAAAGTTGGCACTCACGTTGATTGAGGAACTAGATTATCACATCACAGCAGTGACATTCTGGATTGATTCTATGGTCGTGCTTCACTGGATTCACCAACCCAGCAACAGGTATCGCCATTATGTTGCTCATAGAATCGTTGATATTGGAGAAGATCTCAAGAAGTTAGAAGCAGATGGTGAAAGAAGGGTGCAAGTAAAGTATGTTCCGACAAGTGTGAACATCGCCGACGCCGGCACAAGAGGGCTTAAACTTCCAGAAACAACATCTGAAAGCACCTGGCAATGTGGTCCTGAGTTTCTTTATCACGCTGAAAGTATGTGGCCCCAGGGGCGGATCTAGGGGTCGTCAAGTCAGTCGCGCGACTGAAGTAAAAATTGCCTACTTAATTAAAAAAATTCGACTCCAGCTATCTATAGCGGCCAGTAGATCGAGTTATTAAAATTTTGAATCGTAGTCCAGTTATACGTTTCATGCTGCGGCAGAGCTTCGGCAAAGTAATGTTAGTCAGTCACGAACAGCGGTCTTACGCATGAATGTTGACGGATTCGGGGGTTGAATCCGGCTATCTGATTGGCTGACGCGCTCATTTCCATGGTTACAGCCATTTGCGACGGATCTGTGGGGAGGCCTGACGGATTTGCAGATTCAGGGGCTCTGTACGAGTCTTCTGATTGAACCATTTAAAAATATTCTGCACTGTCATTGGCTTATATTTTCGACGGATTCGCAGCGTGGGGTATTCGTCAACACGGCATTTGGTGTTTTATACCTCCTGAATGTTTACTATTTCGAACGTCTGGCATGTGAGAAATTTTACTATTATATTTTTACGAGCGATCTCTGCCAGCGATATGTCATATCTGGAAACATTTTCGACAATATTCAGTTTGCGATTGCGGCAAACGATTTAGAATCTCTACAACGTTTGTATACGGAGCTTGAGAAGAATATCGATGCTTCACGGACAAATCCTGTTGACGAGCTACTGAACGGCAAAGTGAGCGCCATCAACAACACAAGCAGAAGCCTCGCTAGAAATTTTGGCGCAGAGAGCTACATTCCGAAGTATGTTCGAGATAAGAAAGACAAAGCTTGCACTGCAATAAGGTAGAGAAATTTATGGTTTTATAATGATGTATCTTTAGTTTATATTAATTAAACCGAAGAACCAAAGCCGTCGGTGTTGTTAATGATTGTTAGACATATGATATTTTAATATTCGCTATGCTGTATTAGCATAATTCTCGCGTCAAGAAGCTAAAATATGTTTTATTCAATGTCCACATTGTAAGCATTTGTTGATTCTCGTGTTTATAGTGAAGTTTTATTTAAGATTTATTTATATTTATGCATCGATCACACAACATGTCGGCCTTATAGAATACTGTTTGTCCATAGCCTATCGACACGGCTTGCCGCTTGTTAGACCGCATTGGTCTGGTGTAACATGATGATGTGAAATATTTAATAAGCTAGCTTGAAAAGCTCATTGACTGGTAGCCATTCTCATGTAACTAGTTTATTAATATTTGACATAACATCTTTATATCTTGTTAATGTAATAGTGTTTGACTTAGTTATGAATATCTGGTTGTTTTTTTTTGGATCTGAGGCTACTAGCAATTATTTGTATAGTTCTGCGTTTTTGGTAACAGAACAGTATATTTCCTTAATGCATTTGCTGCCATATGATTTTACAAGTTTTACAATGATACACTTATAGGTATATAGTATCAATATGACGACGATTGATTAATCCACAGGCAAACATGTTATTAAATTGCTGCTGAGTTTTAATGTACTGTATCATAGTAATATATCCATAAAATTTTGTATTGGAATAGGATCAATATATCTTTGTGCATTTGTAGTTTTTCTTACAATGGATAAGAATCAAATGTTCGTTTGAGTTTATCAATTTAAATTTAATCTAAATACGTTTTTCACGCCCAGTCGAGACCACACCCAGCGCTGACAACGCCCCGCGCTGACAACGCCCCGTCCGCCAAAAATTTTTGACTGAGGTACGAAAAATCCTAGATCCGCCCCTGTGTGGCCCCGACGTCCTGACGAGGGGGAGGTAATCGACGAAGAACCAGAACTAAGAAAACAAGCCCATACACGGTCGACCGCAGTTGAGGAGTCAAAACAAGCAATCATGAACTTAAATCGATTCTCGTCTTTCGAGAAAGCAAAGAGAGTAGTCGCAAACGTCCTAAAGTTCATCGCCCTGACGCGTAAAAAGGTGAACGCGAGAAAGATTGGATCAACCCAAAGCCTCACAGCCGACAACTTGCACCAAGCGGAAACGCTATTACTTCAACAAGCACAGATCGAAAGCTTTCCTCACGAAGTGGAAGCGTTAACTAATGGCAAACCAATCAGCAAGAATTCACGCCTAGTCAAGCTCTCGCCGTTTATCGACGCAACCGACGGATTAATAAGAGTCGGAGACCGTATACAAGACGTCCCAGTAACATACGACACCCGTCACCCAATAGTTGTCGATGGAAAATCGGAGATTGGTCGCTTAATCATTACCGAATCTCATCACCAACTTAGTCATGGTCCAACCGACTACGTATTAAGCTCAATAAGGACACGCTATTGGCTAGTGAATGGCAGATCGGAAATCAAGAAATATGCAAATAAATGTCTCTACTGCAAAAAGCGAAGAGTAAAGCCGATGCCACCTCGCATGGGGAATCTGCCCAGAAGACGCCTTACACCGTTCTTACCTCCGTTCATGCACACCTTTGTTGACCTGTTCGGTCCAATCTACATTAAGCAGCGTCGAAGTAAGTTAAAGAGATGGTGCGTGTTGTTTTGCTGTGCAAATGTAAGAGCCATTCATTTGGAAGTAGTCGAGACACTTGAAACTGATGCGTTCTTGAACTGTCTCACTCGTTTTGCGAATCGCCGTGGCTACCCCAAAACGATCACTTCAGACCGAGGTACAAACTTTGTAGGAGCAGAGCGAGAGATGGGTGAAGGATGGGAGCGGCTTGCACACAATCGGATTGAGCAGAACCTTACCAAGCACGGAACTGACTGCATGGAATTTTCATCCACCAAATGCCCCTCATATGAATGGAGCGGTAGAAAGATTGGTAAAATCCTGCAAACGAGCTCTTCATGCTATTCTTTTAAATCGACGCGTGGACTCAGATGTCTTGCATACTGCATTGGTAGAGGTGGAAGGTATCCTTAACTCACGACCGATTACACCAGTCAGCTCCGATCCACTTGACCTCGAGGCGCTGACTCCCAACCATATCCTAATCCATCGACCCAACCTGAATTCACCCTTCGACGTGGTGAGTGATTGTGAGATAAACTCGAGGAAGAAATATCGGCAAGCACAAGTCCTCGCAAATATGTTTTGGAATCGATGGCTTAAAGAGTACCTTCCATTATTAACGAAAAGAAACAAATGGACAGACGAAGTGAGAAATTTGGAGAAGGACGACTTAGTACTGGTTGTAGAACCTAATGTATCGCGTGGCTCACGGGGAGAGTTTTGCGTTCGTTCCCTGGCAAAGACGGAAGAGTCCAAAGTGCAGAAGTGAAGACCCCGTCTGGAAATTACGTTAGACCGGTAGCAAGATTGTGTCTCCTGGAGGAAAACGAAGGTGACAACTCTGAAAACTCAATCACCCAATAAATGGGATGTCTGAGTTGAGGGGGAGTGTTAAGTTATGTCATGAAGTATTGAGCTTAAGAGGCAGTCTCTGTAAGAACCTCATGACCTCTTTGGATCAACAAATAGATTTCTCTCAAACTTTGTAGTTGAGATTGCCTTTATAAGGGTTGTTTCAAAATGCATTTTGTTTTCAGTCTAATTGCATTTTGGCAAATTTCCAGGGGGGTCAAGTTGAGGGCTAAAATTACGATTTTTGCTGTTCTCAATAGTGGCTTTTTGCTGATTTTTAAACCTCTGTACATCAAACAAAAATAATCATAAAACTAAATCTTTCCAGACAATAGTAGCTTTATATGTCTTAAGAAACAAGGTATCTATAAATTTTTCAAATTTGTTTTCTAAATATAGAAATGACATCATTCATGATAGACTAAAATAGAAATTTCCAAGTTCCTTAAAAATGGGTGAAATAAAAACCCTAAAATTCAAAAGTTAGACTTGCTATGAATGTAATATTATTTGTATGGTGAGATTAAAGGTTGGTCTTAGATAATATAAAATAAAATATTGCGGCCTGTAAATTTTGGAGGTACTACAGGCCAACAAAACATCAACATTTTCGACTTTCGGCAATTTGGTGCAAATAAGAACGTTCATGTTTACTGTAAACTCTGCTTTGAAAGAGCAAAATTTTACACATTATTGGACCTAGAACAGTGATGAACATTCGTTTGACCTTTACTGTTGTCTAAAGTCTTTTAGGGAAAAGCACTGACACAGGCATTTCCGTTATGTATGGACGTAATGGACCGTATTGTATAAATAATAAACATTTTCTAGCTGAATATAATCAAGACAAGTTATACATTTGCATCATGTAAAGACGTCCGTTAGTCAACAAATTATCAAACATCGATTTATGTTGAAGATTTATTTAGAAAGTCAAGTGAAAACCTACCCCAATATAATTGATACAAAGTATGCCTCGATCATAGCCTTGTCATTCAATGACCCCGATTGTCAGTTGACTTATTATTTGACGTTCGTTAGCTTCCATTATTCTGTAGTTCACTTTCGATATCTTAATGATTATTGTAGACACAGTCTCGTATATAAATCGTGTGATTCTTCGTCAACAGGCAATGCTAGTCAATTCCTCCATCGTTTAATTTTACTCGTTTTGTTATTGTTATGGCGGAAGCCGCTGACCAGCTAAATAATTCGGCTGTCAAAACACGTGCAACATGTCAAGAATTGTTTGCTTTCACGCCGAAAATTTACCGCGAGACTATTTCCACAGGTGATTTTTGACTTTTTAATTTTTGTGAAAACACATGCAGCTGAAATAAAAAAATATATCTAAAGTTTGTATAATTTCACGGTTTTGATATTAACTTGCTTTCATATAAACTTGCTTGCGTGTTGCGTTAATATATAAGTAGAGACCTTAAGATTGACGTTTACGGCAAACGTCAAACCGCTAGCGCAGTTTTTGATTTTACAACTCTATTATTATAGCTTTTACACCAGTTTTGAAATATGTTAGACTTATTAAACTTGTGCTCTTTAGCAATGATTTAAGAAAGCAAATTAACCACAAATCATGCCATTCACCAAAGCAGTAAATTAAGATTTGGCGTTTGAAGTTGACGTTTGGCATATAAATTCCATGCTTTAACAACTAGAAGCCCTCATAGCAGTGGTGAATGGCATGACTAGTGGTTAATTTGCTTTCTTAAATCATTGCTAAAGAGCACAAGTTTAATAAGTTTAACATATTTCAAAACTGGTGTAAAAGCTATTATAATAGAGTTGTAAAATCATAAACTTCGCTAGCGGTTTGACGTTTGCCGTAAACGTCAATCTTAAGGTCTCTAATAACTTGTGAATTACGCCAACGTAACGAATTGAAAAAATTTTATGCCAAAATGCTGAAAGAAATCTGCAGCGAATTAGAAGTACATATATATATATATATATATATATATATATATGCAAAACTTTATTATTATTATTATTAAAGTAATATTTTAACAGCTTCCATCACATACGTGGTTTTCAGGGAGGTTCTGCAAATAAATTACAATATAGCTAATAGTAATACGTTATAATATATCTTTCTGAAGTATATGCACTAGGAAATTGCGATGTAAAAAGTAAAATAAGTCACTACTATAATCCAAAGTTCTTGATATGTTTAAAAGTTATAAGGAAATCGTTTTCTCAAATAGAATTGGGTAAATTGTTCCAATCCTTAAAAATGTAATCTCTATTTTAGTCTGTCACGAATGAAACAGACTAAATGTAATTTTTCTAAATATAGAAACATTTCTATATTTAGAAAATATATTTAAAAAAATTATAGATTCCTTGATAGTTAGGACATACCAAGCTACTATTGTGCGGGAGGATACAGGTTTATCATGATATTTGTTTGATGGAAGCAAAATTTTCCAAGTCTGTAAATTTCTCTATCGTGCACAAACCCGCCCTGTACGTTTGACAGTCGAATTATTTGGCTGGTCAGCGGCCTCCGCCATAACAACAACAAAATCGAGTTATATAAACGATGGACTGATGGAGGAATTGACTAACATTGCCTGTTCGGACGAAGAATCAAGATTTATATACAAGACTGTGTCTACAATAATCATTAAGATATCGAAAGCGATTAACACTAAAGAATAATGGCAGCTAACGAACGTCAAATAATAAGTCAACTGACAATTCGGGTCATTAAATGACAAGGCTGTCGATCGAGGCATACTTTAATTGTATCAATATAAATATATTGGGGTAGGTTTTCTCTTGACTTTTTAAATAAATCTTCAAAATAAATCGATGTTTGATAATTTGTTGACTAACGGACATCTTTGCATGATGCAAATGTATAACTTGTCTTGATTATATTCAGCTAGAAAATGTTTATTATTTATACAGGGTGTCTCAAAAAAACCCAAAATCATTGAAATTGACGTATTGTTCGATATTCAATGCCCTAGCACTAAGTTAATCCCGCGAGTGCATAAAAGATTGACATAACTGCTATAATGAATGGTAATACTCAGCGTAAACTTGTTATGTCAGGCATAAAGTACTAAACCCACGAATGCATATTACGCATATTACAATTTACGAAGCATTTTTAAATTCTCATGAGCAAACAAACGTTCACTTTACAAAGATATTTTAATTTTTTAAAACAAATTAATCACCCTGTCAAAATCCTTTGTGTTACGGCATTGAAATTCGAACAATACGTTATTTCAATGATTTTGGGTTTTTTTGAGACACCCTGTACAATACGGTCCATTACGTCCATAAATAACGGAAATGCCT